AAATTACCTTCTCGCCGGCAAACCGCCTTCCGCCCACCGCCGGAGCCGCCACTTCCTTGCCGGGCCGCCTCGACATAGCTCGGGAAATAATTTAGAGAGAGAAAGTGGAAGTAGAGAGTAGAGAGAGAAATTGTGTTTTTTAGTTTGAGGGCAAAAGTGTCATTTCACTCTTATTTTGTGGGCTTTATGTAGGAATTTGCGGGCGATGTTTAACAGTTCACTTTAATAGAACCCTAACCCAGAAATCGTCACCATCATCACCTTCAATAAAAACCCAAAACCCACACCCTAAAACCCTAACTCAGAAATCCGACCATCATCATCACCTTCAATCGAAATCAAAACCCAGAAAATCAAAACTCAGAAAATCGAAATCAAAACCCAGAAAATCGAAATCAAAACCTAGAAAATTGAAATCAAAATCCAGAAAATCAAAACTCAAAAATCGAAATCAATACCCAAAGAATCGAAATCAAAACCTAGAAAATCGAAACTCTGAAAATCGAACAAAACCCAGAATATTCGAACAAAACCCAGAATAATCGCACATCATCTTCAACTGAAACTTGTGAAGGAGGAGAGATGAAGAGGATTGTTCGTCGATGGTGGGAGCTAAGGGCCGTGGTCGTAGGGAGGAGAAAGACGGTGGTGGGATGGAAGGTGGTTGTGAAGGAGGAGAGAGAATGGTGGTGAGAGGGGCGGTGGTCGTGACTCGTGAGGGAGGAGGGATGAAAAGGTTGAAAGAGATGAAGAGGGTGAAAGGTTGAAAGAGAGGTTGAAGAAAGAGATGAATGGGTGGTGGCCTGGTGGGTAGACTAGGAGATGAGTAAATGGGGTGGGTTGAATTAGGTTAATGATTTTAGATTAGATTGAAAAAGTTATTGTGATTAAATTAAGATAGGGTAAAATTAAGAAAATCAAAATTTTTAAGTAAGGGTAAATATGTAATTTTCAGGGTTTTTGTTTACTAAAAATTAAAAGAATACAGAGAGTTGCACATGATCATCCCGTTTTGACAAAAGTTACGGCTAACATTTAATGGAGATAGTAATACTTTTGCCGACTAAGATAGTTATGAAAAAGTCCCGGTAAAAAAAAAAGTAGTTATGAAAAAGATAATGGAATATACACTTGAGAAGGAAATAAGAATATATTTAGGCATAGTACTATATATGATTAAAATAGTGTAGTATTTCCTTATATGACAATTTTATTTCATTCTATAATGATAAACATAAAATATTTTATAAGTAATACAACTTTTTTTTTTTTTTCTTTTTTTTTTCTTTTTTTTTTGTGAAGGATAAGTAATACTACTTTAATACACGGTAAGTGAATTATATCATATTGAAAAAAACCTTTTAAAAGATTTTTTTTAATTAATTTTGGTCCAAAGGAATTGAAATTCATAAGTTGCAGGCTGTAGTTTCAATTTTGATGTCATACGCAAACAACTTCATATCAATATAAAGTACGTCTGGGTCAAAAAAAAAAAAAAAAAAAAAACGTCACATGTGAAATGGATAACTTGTATTTATACATGGTGCTACAAAATAACTTAAGTACCTAAAAAAATATGGCCTTAAGATTAGGAATTTTATAATGTAGATTATACGGTCTCCATTAGATACAAAACATAAGGTTTTCATTAAATGGATAACTTGTATTTATAACATGGTAACTTTTATTTATCTTGGAGTAATTTAAGAATCTGATTTAAATTTTTATGACCACACTAAGGGACGGAGAAAATATTAATATCTTGATTAAACCAAAAGTACACACAAGGGCAATATATGAAATATATGAATGGCATGAGTAGTTCTAATCGAAAAGATAAAATGTGTAAAGGCCATAAACCTTTTTATATCTCTAAATCTAAATTTTTTATTCAACATTGAATTAAAACTATGATATGCAATAACATGATAAGATGGGTATATATTATTGCGAATGAATAATCAAATAATGTAAGAAAATATCACTATTATGAGTTAAGCTAACTTTAGTTTCGATTTTGTGAGATTTAATATTTGAACTTTCAAATCCGTGCAATTGCACAGTACTATACGATATGTGTAATACTAAAACATACACCAGGAATAACACATGCCACTCCCTAGATTCCTGGTGTCTGTTTTATCCCTCAAAAATCTCCCTTATTTTATTTATTTTTTCCTTTTTTAGCTAGTGACATCAATCACCTATTATAACTTAAATACAAAAATCCTATGATTGTGATAATTTTGATTCACATACTTTCCATTTCTGCGACATCCATATCTATTACTTTTTATACCATATATTTTAAATTAAATAGCACAATACATCATATTTATTTTATTCTTTCATATTATTGATAGATTCTAAGACAATGTAATTTTGTAACAATGATAATTAAAAAAAAAATACACTGATGAATCTATTGAATAAAGATTCGTAGTTCGTACTACACAAATTATTACTACTACCATACTATTATTTCATTTGTTTGTTTTGTTCCTGCAATATTTTTCATAGAGAAATTCCAAAATATTATTAGAAATCTTCCTACTAACAACATATTTCTTAGGAAAAATTTCCATGACTAATTCCAACTTTGCTTCTTCCGCTAATATTAATCTCAACTTCCGCTTATTTTTTATTAATCCCAACTTTATACCATATCCGCCAAAAACACTCCCAAGTGACTTGCAACCGGCTAAGCAGGTTAACATTTGTGAGTTGGATATTTTTTGCACACGCGTCAACACGTGATTGGTCAATTATTTTTAAAAAAATTAACCAAAATTTTTAAAAATTAAAATATTGGCAGCCACCATAAAAGGAGCCGGAACGGGGATAGGATGGGAGTGGGTGGCCGGATTCGAGGAGAGAGATAGGAATGGTGGCCGAATTCGGGAAGAGAGTAAGAGTGGTGGCCGGATTCGAGGAGAGGGAAAGAGTGGTGGCTAGGAGTGAGTGGCCGGAATCATGGGAAGGGAAGGGAGGGAATGGCTAGATGTGAGTTGTATGTGGTCGTCGGAATCGAGGGAGGGGAAGGTTTTGGTTGCCAGAATCGAGGGAGGGGAAGGTTTTGGTTGCTGGATCCAGGGGAGGGGAAAATCGGGGGAGAGGAAGGCTGTGGTAGACAGATCCGGTGGGAAAGAGGGCGGAAACGGAGGGGTTGGTCGGAGTTGGATAGGCTGCCGCCTGCTAGAGGTGGCGGGGGCCACCTGTTGGGTTTAGGTTTAATTTTTTTTTTTTTAAAAAAAATTTAATTTTTAAATTTGTTTTAAATTTTTTTTTGGACCAATCAAGTGCTGACATGTGTCTGGTAACTTGCTATATCAAGTTGGATGATCGGTTGGGTGCAATGGAAGCGAATTGGGTATAAAGTTGGGATTAACAAAAAATAAATAGAAGTTGGGATTAATATTGGCGGATTGAGCAAAGTTGGGATTAATCATGACAAATTTTACTATTTCTTATTTACTTATTTATGTTTTGCAATGTCACTGTATTAAATGCACAATAATTTATGTTCCATGTAATTTTTTTATCTTCTCAATATTTTGATTTGATTCTCTTTTTTTATTATAAAAAGAAATTTTTTTTGTTTTTTTTTCAATGTTTTAATTGGTTTCTCGCCTCTAATATGAAGAACATACCGTCAAAAAAAAAAAAAGTACATAAGAAAACGAAGGGAGTATAACAGTATACCTTAACATTATAAACTCTATTCTATATGCATGCAATCATTAATTTTTACTTCGTATATTATTATACTTTGTCAGGGGAAAAAATTGACCAAATATCATTATTCATTAAAACGGGGTTATTATTCCTACCCGACCCAAGTATAATACATAATTTTAAAATACTTATTTGATCAATAAAAAGGAAAATAATACTCATTTATGATTGAATTTTTTAAGATGTAGTTTTAATATAATTAAATCTAATCGACTCTTTCGTTATATTCCATGTTTATTTTTATTATATATGCAAAATAAGAAGAAAAATAAATACGAAATATATTATAGTTGTATTTTGGCCATGTTAATTTCACAAAAAAAGTTTTTTTTTTTTATTTAATGTAGTGAAAATACCATATATGACACGAGAATGTAGTGAAAATAACATACATGGCATGAGACTACTCATGAAGACAATTGTGCTGTGTTATTTTTTTATTTTTGAAACATTTTATGTTTGATAATACTAATGGTTATGTGACTATTTTTTTTAAAAAACATTATATGAAATTGTATTTTGCTGAATTTTTTTTGCCATACCCATTTTTGGAAAATTTAATTTGATTTTGCCGTATCCCGTACTCGTAACCATACCCTTTTTTGTCCCCGAATCCATTTCCGTGCAACATAGATGATAAGACAATAGGCTTGAAGAGAGTGGGTGAATGCAAATGAATATAGCATATTTGCAAACTTTATGCAAATGAGCAAACATGATTAAAATATATATATATATATATATATATATATATATATATATATATATATATATATATATATATATATATATATATATATGGAGTATGTAATAACAAATAATGGTTGTTCATCGTAAGCTAATTAACAAAAAATCCTACATATAAATTTGGTTTGAAATAACTTATTCATATCTAGCCAAACCGAATATTTGATTATGCCTATACTCCCTATAGTATTAGAGTTTATAATACTATAGACGAACGAATAAACCAACGATAAACCCTAAATAGACAAAGCTGAAATCTAAATCAACGATAAACCGTAAGTTGTAGCAACTATGACTTCATAATCAAAGTAGGAGAGTAAATTTAGTCAGTAATTCAATAATTCGAACCCCAAATTGAGTATACTGGCAATTAAATTAATGAAACCTAGATTGAGAGATTGATATTCAAATGTTTGAAATTAAATCATCTTACCTTTGTAGTTGCTTATGATGATGAGGATGACAATGAAAATGAAAACCCTTCTGCTCAGAAGAAAATGTATTAATTAAAAACACTATTATGTTAAAAGTTTATGTTAAAAACACCAACACTATTATGTTAAAAGTTTATCACTTAACTTTTTTTTTTTGAAGTTTATCACCTAACTTCATTAGACATATGTATAAATTAAATGCCGCTCTAATGATAAAAAATTACACATTCTATAATTCCGTTAAATTTCACAAAATTGGGGGTCGCCCGCGTTGCGGGTGCTCCCACAACTAGTACAAATAGAAGTAAAAAAAAAAAAAAAATGTTTGATGTCGAAACCTTTGATAACCGTCCATTGTTTCTTAAATAAGGATCATCACCGGGCATGAACTCTTGTGAAGTTGTCACTGACACCATCAATGTGACCTCACTGAGTTGTAGATAGATATGTATTTTCCAGCTGCATTATTCCAACTGTTGTCGATTTGCATAATCTTCATTACAAGCTTTTGCCATTCATCTGGCTCTACACAGAGTAGAAAAAGTATGAGCACTTATGATAGAACTAAGCTAAAAAACTTGACAAAATGAATTAGAGAAAAGGAAAAATTACATGGAATAATCCCATTTTTGGGGCGTCCGCTAAAAATAATCCCACGTTTGGGGTGTCCGCTAAAAATAATCCCACTTTTAATATCAATCCGCTCAAAATGGTCCAAACCGGTCATGTAACTTGTTATAACAAGTTACTTGACACGTATCCGCCTGTGATTTGTCAAAAAAATAAAAATAAAAAAAAAAAATTTAAGAAAGTTGGCGACGGCGGCGCGCCTGAACCCCCTCCCCTACACCTGAACCACCAAACACCTTCGAAATATAAATAAAAAAACCACCCCCATCAGCCTAACCACCTATCATGGCAGCCCACTCCCACCAACCCAACCGCCGTGTTGCTCCGACCGTTGTACCTCTCCCCTTGAACGCGTCGACCGCCGTATCCCTCCCCCCGAACCACCAAACACCTTCAAAACCTTTCCCCGTCCCAATCCCGACCTCCCTCCCCCTTCCCCCGCCACGTTTTCGACCCTCTTCTCTTGTCCCTTTCCCGGCCCATAAAATCATTTCGCCATTTCCGACCCGATCCCGGCCTCCTCCCCTGCCCGATTTCGGCCGCCCAGACCACCCACAATCGTTCGGCCTCTGTCACTCTCCCTTGCCTCAATTTCGGTCGCCCAGACCACCCACAATAGCGACGACGACGACGCAAGCTTCGATCTGATGGTTGATGCAATTCTGCGATCGAGTATTACGGTGGCTGGGGTGGTGGAGGGGGTGGCTGGCTGACTCCCCCCTTTTTTTATAAATTCATTTTTTTTAATTTAAAATTTTAGGCAAATTGTATGGTGACACGTGTACTTTAAACTAAAAAAAAAAAAAAAAAAAAAAACAGGTAACCGGTCAGTTGGGACCATTGAGAGCAGATTGGGGGGTTAAAGGTGGGATTATTTAAAAATAACCCAAAAGTGGGATAATTTTTAGCGGACGCCCAAAGGTGGGATTATTCCGGACAATTTTTTCTGAAGCTAAATGTATAAATATATCTCCTCTCACAACTTAATCATTTTCTTTTATTTTTTAAATGATGAAAGTAAAATAGTAAAGTGGCATAGAGATATATACATAAAGTTGTGAGAGGAGATAAACTGAAATGTTAAAACCTGGGCTCCCTAAATGAAATAAGTCTTTGACGCAAAAGAAAATGCAAGAACTAAGGAAGTCGATGAGCTTACTATCTGAATAGAATGTAAATGCACGATCCATAGCTGAACTCAATGACTTTTCATCAATCCCTTCAAACACAAACCTTGGGGAAGAGAGCAAATAAAGGTTATCAACCATCATTAAAGCCTAACCATCATCACAAAAGAATGATGATTACTAGGTAAAGAAAACAAAAATCTTAGTTAAAACCTAAATTAAGTTGTATAATGTTGTATGCATGTTGATGCGCTCAAACAATAAACCATGTATAAATTAATTAGAACAACTTTCTTGAATAGTTAAGATTAGCATAGTTTCATTTCATACAATGAGCTAGAAGATCTTTTGCTCTCAATGCCTGTCCAGTGAGGCAGTGAGAGTTAAGAAAATTTTTGCAAGAATAAGCGTCTTTTGCCATCATCTAAAGCGGTTGAATTGATTGGAACATCATCATAGAGTGCTAACAAAATCCGGCAACTCCAACCTTTCTAGTTCAGATTGGAGCAAGCATTACCAACCATTGAAGCTTCATCAATAGTATCTTACTCCCAATGATTCTGAACATTCCATTTGTGATCAAACAACTACTTTCTTGGACATTCAATTTGGATATTAGTCCATATTACAATTAAACTCAGTCTATTAAATTAATTAGGCAAATTTTGTCCAGAGCACAAACTAGTGGTTTCTTTGTAGGAGGGGGTGATGGAAGAATTAGCAGCTTAAATAAGTTCTGATGATATCGAGTTTCCTGCTGTGGACTAGGGACCCTCCCCTCACAAATTTATACCAGCCATTTATCAACAAAATCATAATGTTCAAAGAAACTGATAAAATCACATTGAATTATAGTGTGTGCAACAAGATTCACATAGAACCAAACATGAGATACAACTAGTTCAACATCATATAATTTTATTAAAGATAATTGAGTTTGTAGATTACCCATTTGACACCTCATGTTTAGACTTGTCATCCATATCAAATACCGTATCTGCAAGACCACCTGTCCTCCTCACAATGGGAACCTGAATTGATGAGACGACGTGTCATTGCAGTTTAAAAGATTAGAAGTCCTCTGGAATAGTAATGACACAAAAGTAGAGGTACACATCGTTATATTCTTATATACCATTCCTAGAACCCCATAATAGAACAGAACTGATAGGCCTCCTCCAAAGATCCTATCATCCTTACTTTCCTCAACAACCACAAACCCAAAGGCACAACATCAAAGAAGTTATCTGATTCTCTCCAAAGCCAACATGAATTCAAAGGTTTGTTGAAGATGCTAATAGACTATAGCTCAATTAATCCACTCTATTCTCAATCCACATACTCCACACTAAAGCCCCTGTTTCTTCTATTTTACTCAACGTTCAATATGACACTTTTCATGCACCCTTTTAACCGTCTTTTGTGCTCTTACACAAGGAAGAATATAGTCATGTGGGATCTTGTTAGGTTCAATTCAATAATATTTTCAATCTATCAACTTATTATCATATTCAATTATAGATAATTACAGATATTAATGGTCAAAGTTGTGTGTTGACAAACATAAAAGTCAAACCTAATAAAACAGAGTGACACAAACATGTGAAATCTTGTTAAATTCAATCAGATATTACTTTCAAACTATCAATTTATTATTACATTTGTTTATAAATATTAATGGTCATGCTACTGTTTCTCAGGCTGGAAGCAAATGAAATTCAACTCAACTTGGCACAGGTAAGGTATATCAATCCTTGCGGTACAGAATCACTTATTGTGAATATATCACACAATAGATCTATAGCCAAGATAAAGAGACTAATATTCTTGGGAACATACCGCTCCATAGCGCATACCAATCATCTGAGCAAGGCCACAGGGCTCGTATATGGAAGGAACTAAGACCATATCTGCAGCTGCATAGAGCATATGTGACAACTCCTCACTGCAAGACAAACAAACCAAACAGCTATAAGCACCTAGATTTTGCACCAACATGCACAATCCACATAGGATGATCATTTGCAACATATGTTACTCGGACTCGGGTACTAAAGTCCAACACAGGTACTAAGTGTCAGACTTAGCTATTTTGTGAAAATTTTCCATGAATTTTAACAAAAAGGAAGTGTCTTAAGTGTCCTAACCACGTCCGAGTGTCGTGGGTCTGATATAGGTACTTGGATGAAATGAAGAGTCAAAACATCCAACAAAATTGCAACTGCATAAATGATCAGATAAAATTGACCATCCAACCAAACATCCACATCTATGTGCTTGCACTCATTCTATTGGTCAATAACCACCATTGAGGATAGCTAGCCTGATCACCACTTTGGTTGAATATTCAATATTCCGTTCAGTTTAAATGGTATTTTCTACTCACATAAAACTCTGAAGGCCTTTTCCTTTTGAGCCACCCAACATTCATACAATGAACAACATATTTATCAATCTCTATTGGCCCCATAATCCAAAATGCCCTTTCCCCTCTCAAGTTATGAACAAGAATGTGAATTTTAAATTTCACCATCATTGTAAAATTACCTATAAATCAGAAGGATCCGAATGCTAGAACCTTGGTTATGCTGCAAAGGGAAGGATAACACAAGTTAGCTCCTTATATACTTAACATTCCATGTGAAATTTCAAGAATAATGAATCTTTAAAAGGGAAGTGCAGAGAAGATTAAACAGTGGACTCTACAACAATATATATGACTACAATGAACAGCTATCATCTCTTCAGTAATGTTGCTGTTTCAGCCCGTATCAATCCTTTTTTTCCTTAAAGAAAGTTGTTACACCTACTCAAAAAATGCTTAAAAACTAGCACATTCTGTTCAAAGTATGGGTCTTGGAAATACAAGAAAAGAACAACAAATTTAAACTGAAGTGCAATTTACAAAAGGCATTTTCCTGTAAAATAGTACAAAAGTACATACATAACGTAAAGAAAACAACCACTTAATGAAAAATGTATGAATTATGTAGCTATGTAACGAAAACGAAGGAGAAATTTGCAATAACGTAGCGCAGTTTAAGTGCCTAGAAGGTAAAAGAGCAGCCACTTCTCTCATTCCATTCTCAATAATCATCAACAAAAATTAATTAATCCTTACAGCTTCAAACATATAAGTTTCATAAGCAAGACCACATAAAGGATGTTAAAAATAAGATATCAAGGTCCGACTGAATTAATTACAGATTAAGCTTGTTTCACTATTCGAATATTTCAAATTAATATTCAATTTTTAGAAAATTCAGAGTACGACTTTCAAGTGATTGTGGTCATTACCAAAGTCGCAAGGCTTTCAAATTCCTTTTCCACTTGACCGTTTGAAGCTCTTCCCAGCACAACCATCTGTCCACCCTATAATTAAGATATGAATTTCAATCAACATTCAAATTTAATATCGTAAAGGCGTCTTATGAGTTAATGAGGTAGCCAAGAGTTCAAATATAAGAGAAAATAGAAACTGAACAAAACATTCATGCAAAGAAATACTTCCAGATAAAATGTCGTTTAAATACGAAGGTCATAAGAAACAAGGTTCAAAAAGCAGAACAAATGAAGATGTTTTGGTTCACACACCTGGCACCCCTCCACAATTTCAACTACACCCCCCCCCCCTTCCTCCCTCCCAACACCCCCAACTAAAAAAAAAAAAGAATCCATATAGAACAACAACTATAAGATCTCTGGAGAGCAGACACCATACAACTTGACACTACATTAAAAATTCAGAACAGCAAATACGCAGATGTTCTGGAAGACCTTTACATCGAAATACAAATCTTATGAGGATATACAGCTTTACCTTTGCAACAAAAATGTACAGGTTGATTAAAAGGACTAGCACCAAATATGAATTCAATTCACAATGTACAGTTGTCCATAATTTTGGTTGAACAATTAATAGGTCAAATACACAAAATCTAAGTCATACTGTCATAATGAGCAATAAAAAATAGGGTTTTGTTTTGGTAACTCATAGCAAGAATAGCCTTTGAGCTGTGCTACAAACTGTTTTACAAGCTCAAAGTCTTTGTACATCTTTGCACAAAGGTCAACAGGACAGATAGAGAAGAGAGGTCTCATTGAACAGATGAAAAGCAACAATGCAACAACCAATAAATGCATTATAAAGAAACAATAGTGAGGTAGACTTACTAGTTCTTCAACATGTTTAATAGCATGGCGGATCAAATGAAGACCTTTCTGAGCAACCAAACGTGTGATGCAGACAACCAATGGTACCTTTCCTTTCACATGAGTACCAGATCCAACAGATTTAATGGGCAACCCAAGTCCTCTTTGGACGTACTCTTTGCATATGATCTTCCCAGCAAGACTTTGTGCTGCCAAATAAATCAAACAAATGCATCAGAGAAGAGTATAAGGAGAAAGGTTACAGTTCTCCAATTCATTTTACCCAGCAAAGTCTTAAAAGCTACGCCTTCTTCTCGATGATTTTTAAGCAATTAGTACATGATTTCATATATGTAATGAGCTGCCCTGCCCCCTTGATAGTGAACTAGTGCCAACATGTAAAAAACACAAGATAACTGCAAGTAGGACTTCTATATCAAAGTAGCAACAAAGAAGTGACAAGTGACAGCATCTATATTACAGTCAGGTGTCTTTACTTTTTTTTTCTCTTTCTACAGGATGGAATTTTTTTCACTAATTCAACAAAGAAATATGATTATGAATGGACCAAAGTCTAAAAAAGAGTCCAATGATTGTATTCTTTTTCTCCTATACAACCTTCCCCCCCCCCCCCAACCCGCCGCAGACCCTTCTCTTCACAATTATAAGTAACCACACATCAACAAAAAATGGTAACCACCTTGATTTGAGGGAAGGGAAAAGACAAGCAACAGTCAAGAATCATGCAATAATTTCACTCCTTTGGGTAGAGGGGAAGAGGATACTAGAGAGAGGACCCCATGTTTTCATTTATTACCATCAAACTTAGCTGGTAGGAAAGGATCAGTGGCAGGGTTCCACAAGGAAGTATCTATGCCATTTAAAACACCATTGTACCTGCAGAAGGACAAAAATATTGAGATGTAAGCTAACAAAGATAATTATAGAAAAGCTAATGAGCATTCCAAAAGGTACAAGTACTAACAGTAAGGCATTGCAAAAATCATGAATCATGGAATAATGAACCATTCACCTAATCAACCCCCTCCCCCTTCCCAAAAAAAAAAAATGAAAAAGGCAAATTAATACATGAATGTGGTACATTTTGGCCTACTGAAACAATACTAGATGTCAAAATGTTTCCCTGTACCCAATCTTGTACTACAAATTACTCTCTTCGTTTACTTTTACCATAAATCCACCTCAACATATGCAACTCTACTATTCCTGTCTTCCTAATATGATCCTTCCTGAATGCACCATTCTGACCTATGTAACAACACTGGTGGGGTATCCAATAGAATTTTTCTTTAGCTCCAAAGGCATGATAAGGTCACAAAATACCCATGTTGTTGCTTCCCATTTGAGCCAACCAGACTTAATCATGTAGGTTCCATCTTTGACAATTTAACTACTTTTGCATAATCGACCCAAGGTATTAAAAACACTCACTCATGGGAACTTCCTTACCAACCAATGTTACAAATTCTCACCCATCTTCCATGTAGTGTTAGAAAATAGAAACTACATTCCATGTACACCTCCAACTTAGTCTAAACCTCTTGAGATTCTTAGTCTAAATTCCGCCAGTGAGACTTTTGCCTTGATAAAGGAGGACGACTGCGGTAGACTTGTGACAGCTAGCGTAAAAACCCCGTCACATCTCATAATCATGAACCTTGATGATTTTTGGTTCCCCTTATCTTTATTTAGAGTTCATGTGTGTTAGTTTTATCCATTATGATTTTTGGGACTCATGATCTTTTGTTTAAGCCTTGTGTTCTTTGGAATTCATGTTCTTTTATTTTAGCCATTTTGTTTTTTGGGTTCATGTTTAATTGCTTTTAATAATCCTCTGTTGATTACAAAGGAGCGCGCATTTTATGTTTTAAGGGATGTCGTTTTTGAATGGATGCACATTGTGCACACTGTATATCCACCTCCGCCATCCAATTATTACTTAAAATGATCTTGATTTTAGGAAAAAATTAAAGAATTAAGCTAGGATCGGATTAGGTTTAAGCTTAGCTTAATTGATACATAATGGGTTTTAAGTAGCACTATTTGGATTGGGTTTTTTGAAAATCAAACAAAATTTCAACACAAAAACCGGGTTCATACTGGTTAAGACTAAATCTAAGTCTATTCCAGTCAAATTTACACGCATAAAAGGAAAGGCTAATGCTAATGATGACCATCATATAATACTTTTAGAGTATTTACTAATTATTTAATTAATATCATTAGGATATGGTGTTTGTCATTAATTGTTCTTAAGAATGAAGAAATTTAATGATTGTGTCTCCATTGTTCTTTAGAAAAGTATGTATTCACGCCTAGAAGATTATATCCCCAAGTTTACATTGTTGTAAATCTTGTTTCTCCCTAAATTAAATAAAACTTCTAAAACATCTCAAATTTATTATCTATGTTCATATAAATAAAAAATATACTCATATCAATTATCGTGCATCAACCCATGCTAGATCTGGGAAGAATAAAGGGAACACGTTGAGCAAGGACTTGACAGACATGAAACAGCTGCACAACAAAGGGATAACTAAAGACGTTGACGAAACACTGGAAAACTTACTTGTCCCGATATTTGATCAGAATACTTGAAAGCCAACCGGAGCCGAGTGTTTCCTTCAGATAGGATGGTGAGACTGTACTGAAAAGGAGGGAGCAAAAAACAAGCACTTTATCAGGGTAAAGGCTAAAGACTTTGCAAGGAAACTATTCCAATAACAATTTCACTACAATTACATAAAAACTCTTCCAGCATTCATCTCTATTCCAACAATTCTCTCATTCTCTGAACATCCATGAAACTCACTAAGCTAAAAGTCATTTCATGTCAAAAAGACAAAAACTCGAGATTTATGCCTAAGAGCCACCCAACTTTAGCCCAAAAATGTAACTCCTACTACATATATGAGTCAAAATTGGGATACGAACCAAAAAAATCTTTATCAAATCATGCAGATTTAGGATCCAAGGATGGGAGAAAACGAAACCGTAATGTAGAATTCCCAACAAGATTTAGTTAGATATATCTGCTGTAATATCGGCCTCATATTTCTCTTTTAAGTGATAATTATTTTTATATAACTAAAAGTAAAGCAATCAGTTCAAATGTCATACAAACAAAAATTCTCATATCAATGGCAATTCTCAATGAATACATGAGGATATATTTCTAGCCCATCAATAGGTATGAATTGTGTGATTGTGTCCACTGCAACATGGAACTTATTCTGATGATAACTGAATTATAAGAAACTTGAATGCTTAAACCTCCGGGATGAAGGTTCCAAAAAACAAAATTGTCAAGCATTTCTTATTTTTACAAACTAAGCTACTTACACAACTGCATTGCTGTATACAATACCCCCTTTGAGTAAGCTCAACCTCTCTGGATTGTGTCCAATAGTTCTGTCATCCACCGCCTGCAATAATGAGCAGGAAAGAGTTTCAATTTGTTTTGTTAGAAGCAAGTTAACACAAGGTTTCACACAAGCACAGAAAGAATGAAGGAACTACATGATACATATTCAGTTACTAATCTAGTGCTCTGTATCAATTGGGCAGAGAAAACAAATGGATGAAACTTCACCTCCATCAGGAAGCCACCTTTCCAAAGTAGCAATATGCTGGTTACCCAGAGTTCCAATACAATATGGTTTTTATTAATTTAGAGAAAGCGTATGACAAGGTGCCAATAGAGGTACTTTGAAAGGTATCCCATGCGGTACGTGGACCTAGTTAAGGATATGTACTAGGATGTGTCAACAAATGTGAGGACATGTGGAGGGTTGACAAAAGTTTAACGTATTACAATTGGATTGCATCAAGGGTCTGCGTTAAGCCCTTTTCATTTTGCAACGGTTCTAGATGAAGTAATCAAGCCAATTCAAGATGAGGTTCCATGGTGTATGTTGTTTGCGGATGATATCATTTTGGTGGATGAAACTAAAGATGGGGTTAATGCCAAATTGGAGCAATGGAGGAAAAGGTTGGAATCTAGAGGGTTTAAACTAAGTAGGGGTAAAACTGAATTTGATATGCCGCTTTGGTACACAGAGGAGGACAAGCGATGATGTAGTGAGTTTGGACGAAAAAGATTCGACATGAGTGAGTATATTAAATATCTAGGGTCGATCATCCAAATGGTGACAATGATCAAGACATGGCTTCCAAGGATTAAGTCAGGGTGGCTTAAATGGAGAGCGGCCACGGGAGTGTTATGTGACCAAAGCATTCCTTTACAGTTGAAGGGGAAATTCTAGGAGAAATTCTATAGGACTGCCATAAGACCATTGTTGCTCTATAGTACAGAATATTGAACTTCTAGAAAGGAGCACATTAAAAAGATTGAGGTTACGAAAATGCGCATGTTAAAATGGATGTGCGGGAAGGCCGGGAACACTCTAAGATATAGAATCAGAAATGAAGTTATTCGCAAGAAAGTGGGTGACTCAGGCATTGCTGACAAACTAAGGAAAAATCGTCGGTATTGGTTCGAGCATGTAAGACGCACACCAGGGTGCACCGATACGAAAAGTGGAAGAGTAGGATCATAGAAAGGTTAAACGAGGTAGAGGGAGACCGAAAATGACTTGGTTGGAAGAAGTTAGGAAGGATATGAAGCATATGGATTTGCATGAGAATGAGGTATTTAATCGTAAGGGATGGAGGAGGAAGATTTTTGTAGATGACTATACGGAATAATCACTTTTGGTTCTTGTAACCAACCCCACTTATGGAATTAAGGTTTGATTGATTGATTGTTATGCTACTTATAATAGCAGTACATGTAAATATCTAATCTTGAAATTAAAAAATTATAACACAAATAATAATAAAAATAAGCACATCTTACAAGTAGTTTTGCATTAGTAATCAGCTGATATAAATAACTATGCTCTAATGTCTTTTGATTTAAAAGTAGTGCTTTATATTTTAATCTTGCTACACAATAGACCTGGCAAACGGGTCATTCAGGTCTAATTCGGGTCAGCAAATATTCGGGTCGGGTTCTAGTCAATTTGGGTTTCGGATCAAATTCGGGTCAGCACTTAGGGTTAAGTTCGGGCCGGGTCAATTTTGGGTCGGGTCGAGTCAGTTCGGGTCGGGTCAATTTTTAGGACCAATTTTCGGGTCAATTTCAGGTCGGGTCACCAAAATAAATTCAAATAAAAAAAAATTAGTTAAAAAAATAAAGTAGAATTGTTAAGAAAATATCGTGAGTAACTATTACTTAGGAAAGAGAGAAGCCTTAAAATAAGTAATTCACCATTTCACCTTATTCACTTAAGGAATCGGACCCGGTCAATTCGGGTCGGGTCGATTTGGTCAATCAATTCGGGTTTAAATCGGGTCGGGTCAAGTTCGGGTTTCGGGTCAAGTTCGGGCATCGGGTCACATTCGGGTCAACTCCAATTTCGGGTCGGGTCGGGTCATTTTCTGGTCAATGGTTTCCGATTACGGGTCGAGTCAGGATTGCCAAGTCTACTACACAATGGTGGTGTGTTATTATATCAACAAAAAAATTAATAAAAAAAAAATACCTTAGTCCCTAAAATGGAAATAATTTTATTATATATTATTGATTTGATTATTATCAATATCACAGTTAATATCTGAGCTAGCTGATAATAATAATAATAATATGAATAATAATCTTATACAGTAATTATTATTATGGGATATATATTCTGAAACAAAGTCTGATTCATCTGATTTCTGCTAATCCTAGCTGATTTATTCTTATAATTTTACCAGTTTATCAGTATGGTCTCAAAAGATCATATTATTGAAATTTGGTTTGATCCAATCTGTTAGTAATAAAATTCTAAAATAAGATGATAAACATAGCCTAAATATGCATCTATTATCAAACAAAATTGACGAGCCAACAAAATAAAAACTCTTATTACTGACTCAGCTTCTAATAATGCATGACATACTTTTTACGGGAATCTAAACTACTGTAAACACAATATTCACCTTGTCAGTAGTAGCATAAACATCTCCATCAAGACCGGACTTCCCAAATTGCTCTTTACTGCCAATATGAACATATAAACACAGTAAGACATCAAGAGATATTAACAAAGCTATAAGCAATAAAATTGTCAACATGATTATCAACCACACAAACCACAGGTTAATTAATTAAGGCTTCAAACTTTCACCCCAAAAACCCTTATCTAGAATTGTTTGACCTTACTTGAATTTACCGGAACCAAAGCGAACTTATTTTTATAACATAAACATGATATCCCTTACAAGATAGCCTAAACTTACCTCAACTTGGTTTTAAGATGAAAGTTGACAGAGATGTTCAGTCCATGTAAATCAGGTGTTAGATTTATAAAACATATTCTTGAGGGTTATTAATGACATTGCAACGATTGCATCATATTAAAAGTCAAACAGTCACCCTTTAACAAATGGCCAACTCCCAAGCACGATCACAAATGCAGTCAGAAAATCAAACTTTGGTTGATTATGTCTACCCTATCACACTGAGATACATTAACATAATATGAGATTTTGCAGCAGAAGAGAATTTGGACGTGTGAATCCAAAGTTGATCACACACTGCAATTTTTACCTATTGGTCAAACAAAGTATCATTGGAATTCTCCCTATTCTAGCACACAACAGCTTTTCTTACATCAGTTCACAATTCCATTCCACACATACAGAAACTACATATCTGCAATTAGACTATTAGAGTGTCCCTAATGATTACACTTAAGAGCAGATTCACTTAGCACCGACTACAAGGCTAGAACATTGATTTTTAATTTTTTTGAATTTAGGCTAAATATTGATCAAAGGTAATTCCATTGTTTCCCTAAAAAACTGTTTTCATTGCACAAGAATGCTGAATATATTGGTACGGAGTATTAAACACACACACACCCACACACACACAAAAGGACTTCTGTTAACCACAACAGTTTCCAACTTGAGAGGTTTAAAAAAACAGATGACACTCATTCCCATAACTGTTCTGCTTGATCTTTGCTTCAATTTGATTGCTTTCTATTCTATAGAGTCAACTACAAATAAAATATAGGTCGTGTGATACATGTCAATAACTAATTTTGTCCAAGAATATCCAAAGTGATTGCACACAAAGAACAGGTTAAATATACAGTTAGCCCTCACTTCTATAACTACATAAGGGTATAATGGCATACCGACATTCTCCATAATGCTCCATGTTGTGGATTGTCAATACTATTCTTGGTTTCTGAAAAATTTAACACATCAAATGGCAATTATATATTAGATCAACTGAAAGGAAACCCCTCCCCATAACAAGAAGAAGAAAAAGAAAGTAACAACGTAGAATTTTTGAATTATAATAAAAAATATAAACTACATACCAGTATATATTTTGATTTTTACTACCTTATGTTTACCAAATTCTGAATTTTGATGCCTTTGGAATGTTCTTTTCAATTTTTATTATTTTATTTTCCTACCTTTTGTTTATCAACTTTTCAAAAGTCTGTACCTTGGGGTGAATGTTATGTACTGCAGAGTTAGTACACACAATCACAAGGTAACGACATTTGAAGAGTTAACAAACAAAAGGTAATAAAGTCTAAAATCGGTAAACAAACTGTAGTAAAAAAAAAAATAAATAAATAAATTAAAAAAAAAAAAAAAAAAAACCTTTAAAAAAAGTACCATGACATACAATAGATAATCTATATTCTTGCCTTGAGTGAAAGGAGATGATACATATCCCAATAAAACAAGGATAGTGCACTTGTCTGCCATTCATGTACATGGATTATATCTGGTTGTGTACCAGTCACCTGTCAGAAGTCATGACAAAATAGCTAGTCAGGACAGCGGAATGAATTCAGATGACAACTATGGGCTGCAGTATGAAAATATCATTTGAATCCAAACTTAACAGTGATTAAATATGAATATGTGGTGTAAAAAGTCTCAAGAGACGGAAGATAACTTCAAAAAAATTAAACTAGTTTTCTCAGAAACTAAGCAAATCAATAAGTCAAATAGTCACTAGACAAACCTGCATGTACTCAAGGCAGGCACGACAGAAAAACAAATATGCCTCCAGCTCATCATATGAACCTCCGTATATTCTTTGGCCTTTAAAGAATTGATTGGCTGGTTCAATTAAAATGACAGGGATACCTGAAGCTACAGCACGATATGCATTTGTTTGAACCCATTTGCCATCATGGTACGAATCATATGTGCAGATTAAGTTAAATTCAGTCATCTGCTGCTTTGGGAGACACTCATAGAATGGAAGCATAATATCCACAGTATGACCGCGTGACAAACATGCACGAGCAAGTCCAGTTACCACATCTCCTAGACCTCCCACTTTAGCTATGGGTGCCATTTCAGCCGTAACATGGATTACATGCATAAGATCTGAGTCCTTGTCCACACTAAGAGGAGCTTCTATAGTCACGTCAGATGTAGTAATGCTACTTTCCCAAAAAGGGATTTCATCATCAGGTGAAGGCATTTTAATGTTTTCTAATGTTAGACCAGGTGATCTAGTCACTCTCACGGTACCCACCTGCAGATGGAAAGAGCCATAAATGACAAAGGTAATCAAACACCAAAACATGTAAAATACATGCCTAAAAAAGAAAGAGTCGTTATCAAAAGGCATGCTATCCTGTTAAAAAAATACAATTATATTCTCTATTTTACTGAACATTAAGCCCACCTGTTATTTTTTATTACTACATATTCGTAAATTAAAATTACATCCTCATGAAAGTACTTAACAGCAAAATGATGTTTACACAATAAAATTGTACATAGTGCAAATTTTATAGATTACACAATAAAAGTAAGTTTTGACCTTTAAAAGAAACTATGGTGGATATTTGGAATACAAAGAGTACATGATAAAACATTAAACTAACAAAGTCTTCCAATGCTGGAGTAGAGAAGTCATATTAGACAAAAGCCCAAAAAAAACCTAAAAATCACTATAAAATGAACACTAATTCCCATCAAAAATTTTAAATTACTAAAAACATGTACTTTCAAAGTTTGTAGCTGCCTTTCTACTTTTCGATCCAAAACTTTTGCCTCCATAAAAGCTCTATAAAGATCCAAGACTCACCAAACATCTCAAACACCCTAGACCGTCATCCACCTATGGAGCTAAGGCCTCCTACTTTGTAGAAGTGATACAATATCTAATAGCCCATTGCTCCAATCTATCAAATTGAAGAGGTTCAACCATAACGGTTGACACGTATTAAATCCACTATTACCTCCGCTTCATAACATTTATTAAAAAAAATGTTACACATTATGTGCAACAAATGTTTTCTTTCCTTTTTTAAATTGTCATTTCTATCTATCTCTCGCCTATGAGTCTGTGTCAAGGCTTTTGTTTCACATGATATGAAACAAAGGTAGTATCACTTAGCTGATATTTCTAAGTATTCATGTTAGAAGTTGAAACAAACACTTATATTTCCATGAATTTCAGGGTGCGTTATTTTCACCTAATTTTCACTCATCTAACCATATTTTAATTGCATATTAAACCTAGGTGGCCCTTATTTTACCTGAACTTAAAGAATCTAAACTTATTATATCGGAACTTATTAACCTATATTTGAACTCATCTGAATTTGTTATCTGTGATATAACTAGAATTAAGGCCTTGAGGATCAACCCAACCTTAGAGCCTAAAGATATTGGCTAATAATTTCTGGGGAAGAAATTATCTAGACAAACCTTACAAGGCTTAATTTTATGCTCCTCTATCATGTCCCTCCTTGATGCCTTATCAGCTGATGGCTAAGTGAATCAAAGTTCTCTTATGAGTTATGATCAACTTTCTTCTAATTCGTGCCATTATCACACTAAGGCTTAATTTTAAAGTTCAACCTAAGTTAAAATTGGCACAATTGTCGCATTCTCACATTCAAAAATAAAAAATATTTCTCCTTATGTAAACATGAATAATATTATGCTCCTCTATCATCATCCAAAATTCAATGTACATTGTCAATCTCTCTTTTCCTAAGTGTCTTAGTCTTTTTTGAAATATAAATAAGGAAAAAAAAATTAAAAAAAATCATAAAATTGACATCTTTCCACATCAACAAACAATCCCTACATTATAAACTCCCAAAGCAATCAAACAGATCATAAAAAAAAAAAAAAGAAAAAAAGAAAAAAAAACCATTACAAATAATCATTGAAACATACAAATTACAATAAATTTCCCAAATCACAGCACCTAAATTAAAAGAAATTATAACTTTTTACCTGAAAAGGATGATGGGTATTGTGGAAAAATGGGAAATTGATGGAAAAGGCATCATTTTTCTTGATTAAAGAAGTGAATAATTTCGTGGGTGACTTATAAATAAATGGGTTATTGTGAATTAAACTGGAGGAAGAACTCATAATTTTCATAGTTTCTGGTACCAAAAATACCATTTAGAGTAAAAAATAATTGAGTTGATATCAGTTCACTCTCTCTTTGTTGTGTTTTAATGAATGAAACATTTCAAGGAAATCAAACAAAACTAGGAAAGGAGTATATCCCGTGAACGGTTCCATTTTGGCCAGGTGCATGACGTTGATTTTTGGAAAATGCGGTTACAACTTGGAAGATCCGCAAATATTTGTTGCATCTGCACTACTCACTAATACATGGACGTTTTAGGAAACTAAGCTTCCCGAAGAAAATAATTACAAATTTGGTTGCGTGGCAAAAGTATTTACAAAAATAAGCTTCTGGGGTAAACCGCTGCCTCGGGCAGCGTTTTACCCTCTATTTTTTAAAAAAAAAAATTCTGCTACAAAAACGCTGCCCCAGGCAGCGTTTTTATAGTTTGACTTTTTTTTTTCCTCGTTTATTTTTTTAAAAAATTAATTAAAAAAAAAGGCAACAGCATAAAACGCTGCCCCAGGCAGCGTTTTATATGTATATATGTTTACAGGTAAAACGCTGCCCCAGGCAGCGTTTTACCTGGTTGGCAGCACCAAACCAGTTTCTTGCCCCAACCCTCAACATCCTTCCAACACCACCCCCAACCTCCTTCCACCACCTCCAACCCCTTTCCACTACCGCCCTCCACCACCACCGCCTTCCACCACCACCACCACCTTCCACCACCTCCAACCCCTTTCCACCACCGCCCTCCACCACCTCCAACCATCACCTCCACCACCTTCCACCTTCCACCACCACCGCCTTCCACCACCTCCAACCACCACCTTCCACCACCACCTCCAACCATCACCTTCCACCACCGCCTTCCACCGGCTTCCACCGCCTTCCACCCCGACCTCCCACCACCACAACCACCTTCCAACAACCGTCCACCACCACCTCCAACAACCTTCCACCACCACCACCTCCAACAACCTTCCACCTCACACCACTACCTTCCACCACCACCGTTGACAAGTCAATATATACATAAATCAAAACATATTGGGAAACAAAGAACATAACACACAAATGTTGACCGAAAAACATTTATTATATTAGAAATGTAAATGTTATATACCTAATCTATACAAAAATTTTACTACATGAAATAACTAAGCTAACACTATCCCGATTCATCTATCCGGGGCAATTGATCTAGGTCAGGTTGCTCGGCCCTCTGTCTGACACGCCGCCGCCATCTCTAAATCACATCCAACTAACCACTTTGGAACAACTAAGCATCACTAGGTCACCATTAACAAGCAATAATTCTAGAAATTCAAATACTTAACATCTTCAATATTTCAACACCAACAATTCTACATTATCCAAATTAATATTTAACAATCACAATTCATCAACTCAACCCTAAACCCCTAAATTCAACAAAAACCCCCAAAATTCAACATGTAAGACGAGGGGTTTGTCACATTTTATTGTTTTTAATTTTAATTCTGAAATTTTACTAGCCGTAGTAGTGGTGGCCAGCGGGCCGGGTTGGACCCAGCCCACCCTGACCCGCACGGTTGGTGGGTCACCTGGGTCTGACCCGGTATTAACCCGGCATAGATCGGGTTGTGTCGTGGGTCCAAAATTTTTGACACAACCCATTTCGACCCACCTCGTTTCAACCCATTGAATTCAACCCACCCAACTCGACCCATCCCACCTTGCACGCCCAACCCGCACGGCCCACGACATAGCCCACCCTGCACGCACGACCCACCCAACCCGCACGGCCCACCCTAAACTATTGGCTATAATTGATATTTGCATGGATTTTTTTTTTAATTTTGTGCCCAATTTTTTATGGAATCGCTGCTATTCGTGACCTCAGTGTCAAAACTGGAGGTTTAGAAAATCTTTTTAAATTTTATTATAATTGTTTAAGTATTGATTTTGATATTAGTGAATATATTAACAAATGTAAATTTGCTTTGGGAGACCTTTATGATCATTATACATTTATTTATGGTTCTGATTTAGCTATATTACATATTACTAGCACTTCCGATTCTAGATTTGGTTCTCTTCTTGACAAAGATGTTGAAAAAAAAAAAAATTTGAATTTTAACACCACAAAAAAAACACGAAAATGGTTTTTAACACTACAAAAAAAATAAACTTTCATTTTAACACCACAAATTTTTAAATAAATTGGCTTTTACCACCACTTAACTTATTCATGGATGGAATCCGTTAGTGGGGTCCACAATGCCTACATGTCAGCATATTATTGGTCTAAAATAATAAAAAAAATTAAAAAAACAAAAAAAACCTAAAACTAACCCAGCCACCCCATCCCCACCGTCAGCCCCACCTCCAACAACGCGCCGCTGCCAATCCCTCACCCTAAAAGCCCCGTTCCTAGCCCCTGTCACCGGCAACTTCGCTCCCTCCCTTCCCCCTCCCCAAAACTAGCAGCTCTCCTCAACGACCACCAAAAATGGCCGCCGTTTTGCAAACCCATTTTAAACGGCCACTTACGGTCGAAATCTGCCGATTTAGGGCCGAAATGGTCGATTTCGACCATAAACCAGTCGATTGCGACTGTAAGTGGCCGATTTAGGGCCGAAATGGACGATATCGACCATAAGTGGCCAATTTAGGGCCTTTTAGTGGTTGTTTGAAAAACGAACGACCTTAAATTGTGGTCGTTGGGGGTGTGATTGTTGGTTTTGGGGAGGGGGAAAGGGAAGGAGGGGATTTTTCGATGGCTGGGGCTGGAAACGGAAGGGTCAGGGGTGGGGCTGTGGTGGCGGCGCGGTGCCACTGGTAGGGGTGGGGCTGTGGTGGGGTGGTTGGGTTAGTTTTAAGGTTTTTCTTTTTTTTTCTAAATTAATAATATGGCGACACGTGGCACAATGGACCCCACTTAACGGAATTTTGGATGGAAACTGTTAAGTGGTGGTAAAAGCCATTTTTTAAAAAAATTTTGTGGTGTTAAAATAAAGGAAAAATACAGTTTATTAATCCCAACTTTCACCAATTTACTTTTATTAATCCCAACATTGGATTATTCCTCTATAATCCCAACTTTAAGGTGGTCTATCTTTCTTCAAACCAAAAAACTAGGAACCGGCTAAGGAAGTGAATGTAGAGTCAACAAACCTCAATATTGACTTTAAACACCAATTCCCTCCTAAAATGATGTCCAATCAGCATCTCCTCCAAACGACTCCCCCCGGCAAAATTAAAATCCCGCCATTAATACTCTCTACAACTTTCACTTTCCCCCCAATTACGACCCATTGCACTACTCTGAGAATCCCAAAAATCGTAGCGGGAAAGCGAAATTGTTTTCTAGGGTTTCCATTTGAGGAAAGAAGCAGCTCAATTGATGAAATCGAAGCAGGGGACGCAAGAAGGAAGTAGAGGTAACCTAAATCCGTAACTTTTTGGTCATTTTTTTTGTTTAGTCATCAATTTAAAGCAATTTTGACAGACAATAATGGTTTATAGTTGTGTGAATTCTTGTTAAGAAACGAAAATGCCATAAAAATCAAAACTTGGAATTAGGGTTTCTTTGATGTGAATTTCGCTGCTGTTTGTGTTTCTGTGTTGGTATAATGGTTGATTTATGTTGCGTTGTCTGTATTTTTAGTGTATTATTATTTCGAAATTGAATTTTGATAGTGAAATTCTAGGTTGAACATGAATATGTTGGGTTTCGTAGTGTCCGACACTACGCGGAAGAGAAACTCTCCCAAGACCCGCCCACTAATTAAAGCAACTAAACATGTAATCACATAATTAACAACATAAGAGAGAGAAGGAGAAAAGACATTCTTAACCTCGACGCGTGCTTCGCTCGATTCACGAGCTTTTACTTGAAAGCTTAACCTTGCAAGTGCGAAGGCCTCCTACGACTCGCACCCTAGACTCGACCCGAGCGGTCTTAATCCCGAAGGTTAGTCGGGACTTGACCAAATAAAACTAGAGTATTATGAACTTAAAGGTTTTCTCACTAATGATGAGATGCCTTATTAAGTTCAACTCAAGTGATTTTTCCCAAACCCAAAACTTGGGTATTTATAGGGAAAGGAGACTTGTTCTCCCTTCTCCCATCAATGTGGGAGAATTGCATTTTCTACGAATTTATTTTAATCAAAAAAAAAATTAAAATACAAAGCAATCAATAAGCTCCAATTGGAAAAGCGTGAGCAAGAGTAGGTGAGGACCATTCAAAGGGGGGGACCAATACTCCTTACTCACCAAGCAAAGCCACCAAGAATCGCTCCCCACCAAAACCCCATGAGCAGCCCACACATAGCTGGCAGCTAGCCTGCCTTGGCTGCCAAGGCTGCCTAGCTGGCGCCTGGCACCTTGGCTGGGCTAGCTGGCCTGCCTGCATACGCATGCACGCAGCCAGCAAGCCACGCATACAATGCGGGTTGCTGGTGCTGCATAGCGTATGCTAGGCGCTGCCTAGAAGCTGCTGCTTGTGTTAGGTGCTACCAAGCACACAAGCATGCACAACCACAACATATAGCATGCTGTGATGCCCAACACGCAAGCATGCACAACCACAACACATAACACGCTGCGATGCTATGATGCGAGGTTGCTGTGCGAGAGGCTGCGAGGTGCGTGAGGCTGCTATGCTAGCACACATTGCCATAGCACAGCACGCATAGCATGCTGCTGCTGTGCTTGAGCTACCGATGATGCGGCTGGGTGCGTGGCCCAGCACACTAGCAAGCTAGCATGCGCTAGCTGCTAACATGCTTGCGGCCAGCAGCACCAGCCATGCTAGCATGCTTGGCCTAGCACGCAATGCATACTAGGCTTGCGACATGCTTTGTGATGTGCTTGGTAGCTTAGGCTGGCCTAACACTCATATGGCTAGGCCAATGCTAGCACACATCGCCATAGCACAGCACGCATAGCATGCTGTTGCTGTGCTTGAGCTAGCGATGGTGCGGATGGGTGCGTGGCCCAACACACTAGCACGCTAGCATACGCTTGCTGCTAGCATGCTTGCGGCCAGCAGCACCAGCCATGCTAGCATGCTTGGCCTAGCACGCAATGCATACTAGGCTTGCGACATGCTTTGTGATGTGCTTGGTAGCTTAGGCTGGCCTAACACTCGTATGGCTAGGCCAATGCGAGGCTACAGCCTAACTCAAACTTGTCGCTTGCTTGATTTCCCGTCTTGTC